GGCTTTCAGCATTTGCTGAAATCCGAGACTCGGTGCACTCCAACCAACTGGCGTGCTGCAACTGTATGAACCCCACTTCGTGAAATGTTGCACAGAGGGCTCTTGTCGATTTGCTGGCCCGCCTTCACTTAGGGCGGGCACTAGGCTCTCTGGGGCCTTAGCCCAGAACATGTACATCATGGCAAGGCCCCTACTTGAGGGCTCAATCCTCGCAATAAGATTTGAGAACTTGAGAATTCGGAGGTATGGTAGGGGCAACAGTAGCATCGAGCGCACGCATACACACAAACACACAGGCCAACAGAGTGGCACACACACACACACACACACACACACACACACACACACACACAGATGCAATGAGCCTGCAGGTAAACAGCGAGTGTACACTAACTGTTAGGCCGTTTTGGTTGTTTTGTGTTCCCCAGGACTGGATCCCATAACCTTTGCCGACTGTTTTATTTGTTTTGTGTCTTCACGCCCGTGGGGCTTGACCCCTTGACCTGTTGTTTGCTGGGCTCTATCTTAGCTGTAGGCTTAAAACCATTATAGGACTTTTAGTTCTGTCTTTTTCTGCCTGTTTCCTGTAGGCCCGTGAGTCCTAGTTTTGGCAGTCCAGAAGTAGCGGGAGGGAAATAGAGTTTGGGACTTTTCACGTTCATTTTTGTTGGGGAAACTCTGCGCGTCCGTTGTTTGAGCGCAGCTGCACTATTTTGGGCGAGGTCATCTTCTTCATTGAAGCCCAGCCATAGCTGGAAATGGGACCGAAGTTGAAGGGTGCACTGCTACTGTTTTGCAGCGCTGTATGAGAGTTTCCACAATACCTGTGCTGTTGGGTTTGAGAGACGGTTAACGGGGGTCCAAATATTCGTCGTTTTGATTGGCAATTGCAGTGCGAATTTCATCAAAAATTTTAAAAATAAACGATATGAGACCATAGTGCACACACCCACAAAGAAAAAAAGAGAAAAAGAAAGAAAAAAAAAAAAAAACAGCAGAGAGAGAGAGAGAGAGAGAGAGAGAGAGAGAGAGAACGGGGGGGGGAGGGGGGGGGAGAGAGAGAGGGAGAGAACAAACAGGTAGACAGACGAAGAGACAGAGAGAGAGGAGAGTGATACACGCTCATCAGTGGATGACCAATGCACGAATCCGAAGAGCCCCGAACTGATGCCAAGGACTCATGACCACCAATGTGAAGGGCAAAGAAGCAATGTTCGTCCAGATACAAATGATACAATGCAGTGTAGCACAGCGGAAGACTCAAGGATACAACCTGACTCGTCAGAATCAGACTCAACTCACACGGACATCATCGCACATGTCAGACCAGCAAAGAGGGAAACATAACACAGAAGAAACATCCCTCCTTGCACACACATATGGGGAGGAAAACCACAGATGATGGAGGTGCGGAGGAGACAAAGAAGACGGGACATGTCAAGAGAAAAACCCAAAATTGTTGAAAAATAGTCACCTCGTCAAATGTCCAATCATCATCTCCCTCAGAATATGGAGTCAAAACCCAGGCGCTCAACAGCCCGAAATAATCACTGCCTAGAAGGCTCTCCTCTCTCTCACCTGACGCTGAAGGAGCCCTTGCTGACCAGCGAAGATAGTCTCTCTGATGCAGGTCGCAGAAGAGGAGTCCAGCTATGGCGCCCAGGTAAGCCGCACCAGTCTCCTGCGGTCTTCAGCATCCACGCTCCCACTACGGCCTACTCCCCGATGCCAAGGATCCTGGTGTTGCCCTCCAGCAGCACATTGCCCAAAATGTGCACCAGCCCCTTTCGACTGCTGGGCACTGGCCCAGCTATATGCTGTTGGGCCTGGCTCAATCCCTCACAGCCTGCAATCAGGAATGTTCGATCTAATGTCAATTGGTGGTCCTGATTGTAAGCCTAAGCCCTGGTCCTACAGCAATGCCCCACGGTCTGTGATCATGGCGGTCGGATACAATGTCGATCGATGGTCCTGATCGCAGGCCCAAATCCTGGTCCTACTGATACGGACAAATCTGAACCTGGCCTACTACGGCCTACCGTAAATCGACTGGTCAGGACAGGTATCGGCCTGTTCGGACAAACTGAGAAGTCCGAAACGACAAATCTGAGACAGACAAAAATAGAACAGACAAAACTCAGTCCTGACGCACTCAGCAAAAAAAAAAAAAAAAATGCTGAATAAAAGAAAAGCGGATTGGACAAAAATGTGAGCCTGGTCTGAAAATGTGGCGGCGGCTGACCAGGTTGCGCAGCCACGGCCTAGGGGCCGAATGCGAAAAGTGCCTAGGGTGCTACACACACACACACACACACACACACACACACACACACACACACAGAGAAAGAGGTGCAGAGAGAGAGAGGAAGCGATAAAAACGTCGGCCCTGCAAGGGCCCGTGTAGGAGCCCCTAGGATGGTACACAGAGACAGATAAAAAGGGAGAGAGAGAGAGGAAGCGATAAAAACGTCGGCCCTGCAAGGGCCCGTGAAGGAGCCCTTAGGATGCTACACAGAGAGAGACAGAAAGAGACAGAGATAGACAGAGAGACCGACAGACAGAGAGAGACAGAAAGAGATAAAAAGAGACAGAAAGACAGAGGAGGCTTGTATGGTTCCAGTTTGTAGGAGAAGATTCATTCTAGTTTTGCACATTTGGTGAGTAGCGGAGTGAAGCCCTGAAAAACACATGCCGAGTTAGTAAGTCAGTAACCCATAACTGCTGAAACACGGACCTGAGTTCGAAGCTACACCATATATAGCTGGCCTGCTCCCCCCTTACTACATGCCCAGCGACTATTCTTCTGCTGCTGACGAGATCCTTGCTAAGTTGGCAGGGAACTTTTGAAGTGCGGGCAGGGGGTTTCTGAATAATGTGGAAGGGGCCAAAGGGCTCTCTCTCTCTCTCTCTCTCTCTCTCTCTCTCTAGCGTGTATACACGCATCACGGTTACTTCTTTTTTTCTTCTTTTTTTTGCGCATCTGCGATCAGCGCACCGCGCAGCACACCTCACGTATGTGCCGCAAGTATGCTTTGAACTGATGCCCTCAAAACAGAGGGGCATTCATAATGCACAACTGACAGGCTGGAAAATTTTCTGAGTTTTTTTTTGGTACTCCCCAAAGTAGAACGAAGCCACGAACAGGTGGTCATATTTTTTCAAAAAAAAAAAAAAAAAAAAAAAACATGAGAAAGGCTTTAGTCAGTCCTCAAAGCCACTGAAGCCACTAAGAACAAGTGCAGAAAATTGCGCTCTTGTTCATCCAGCCGCTAGCAGCCTTGTCCTGATAGACACACATCTTACACCACTTTCCACAAAATTGTAATCAACCCAGTCGCATAGGGAAGCCAATCAGTGTCGTGATACAAGCCTGAACCCAGCAGACAAAATAATGTCTCCAAAATCGATTATATGCCCAAGCCCAACATATGTGCACTTTCCAAGAGCATTGTTCTTCAGAGAAGAGAATGAGGAAGTAAGGAGAAGAGACAGAGAGGAGGAGAAGAAGAGTCCCCATCAATCATGCATGAAGTATCTTTCTGCCCACTTCCTCCTCGGGCATTATCCCCCCTGTCGCCACCTCGGGCATGATCCCCCCTGTCGCCACCTCAGCACTGCAGTCTCTCTCTCTGACGTTCTCTGACAGATACTGTGCAGGTCACAGTCGGGCGCCCACCTCTATCCACATCAGCAGCCAATCAGGGAGGATGGCGCAGATCTTCCTCACCTTCGTGGAGACAAGCAGCAGATCACACACGACGTCGCCAGGTAAGTCCAGGTAAGCCTCCCCTCAAATCCCTCTCCAGTCTCCCAGCCTCGATCCTCCTCCTCGCCCAACCTCAACACCAATGTCTATTGCTATGGCGGCAGTGGCCGCTCCAACATAATCTCCCCTGATGCTGCCACCAACCCACCAGCACTGGCGCCAGCATAATCTCCAGCAGCCTCGCAATATCGCACTAGCATCAAGCCAGCAAGGCAGAATGATCTCCACAGTGGCCGCGTCAACTCTATATAGTGTCGACTCACCCTGACCGGCCTCCAGTCTCCTTGTTCGACACCCCGGATGATCAGAAAACCAATGGCCTGGATGCAGCGCAGTCCCAGCTTTCCCTTGTGTCCCACTTGGACTGGAATCTTCTGGATACCTGCAGACAACCACTGATGTGCATCTGATCGACGGCCGTGGCTGACCACCGGGTTGACTTTGTCTTTGGGTCTGGAACTGCGTGCTCTGGTTGACTCTTGATTTTCCAAGAGTGATCTGTCTCACGTTGGGGTATTGAACACACCTTTTAACTCAGATCTTGGTAGCCCTTGACCCTAGGCACTTTCTCAGACATTTCTCAGGCTAGGGAAGTGACTTTTGACCCCTATTTCTGGCCTTTGACGAAAAGTGACGACCCTCGTGCCGATCTGAACTGGGTTTATTACAAAATGGACAGATGACATACAAACACATACCGATTTCATCTAGGAGTGCAGTGCATTCCTCTCTATTACTAGCTAGTGCTATCTCACCGATAAACTTTCGATCATAAAATGTTCAACACCAGCTAGATGATCCTAGTTAAACTACGAAAAAGTTGCTCATGCTTCAGGCAGATATATGCTGCGATCATTGATACATGGAACCCCCCATGGATATGACACAAGCAGCAAAACGGTTTATCTCTATGATAACTCCATTTCCTTTTCAAAGACTTCCTACCCCGTAAAATTTTGAGGGATCTTAATCACATACAAACATTATGAAAGATGATCGGGTCTTTCATTCACATGAGGCTTCACGTGTATGATTCATTTATGAACTGTATAGCTTCAAACTTGGCTATCCAAAATTCAGTCGGAGAAATTATTATTGCTATTCCAACAGAAAGCAGGGCACCCTAAATCATTGGATTTGAAGTGGCTCTAGACGATACAGGCAAGGTATCTAAAGAGGTTGGGAGAGGTGGCTGTGAGGGCCCACGCTTATAGTACGGACCTGGCAGCTTTTGATAATGCACCTGGTGGCCACCTGCTCAACATCTCCTGATGCCCCGCTACTTCTAGCCACATGACCCTTGTGTCAATCAGGCCGCTCAACCACAAAGGCAGAGTCAAAGAGTTGTGAACAAATACAAGTACTGCTCCCCCCCCCCCCCCCCCCTCCCTCTCTCTCTCTCTCTCTCTCTCTCTCTCTCTCTCTCTCTCTCGATCGCTCTCCTTCTGTGTCAGTGCCTCCCCCCCCCCCCCCTCCAACCTCTCTCTCTCTCTCTCTCTCTCTCTCTCTCTCTCTCTCTCTCTCTCTCTCCGAGAGAGAGAAGAGAGGGACGGAGAGAGAGAGAAACAGGCACAGAGGCGTACATACGGACAGACAGACAAAGAGAGACAGAGAGCGTGATACTGACCGGCAGACAGGAAAGAGAGAAAGGCGAACAGGCAGACTCTCGGGACAGAGAGACAGAGAGACAGGTAAACACGGCGTGACAGACGAACAGGCAGAACAACCGGCAGACAGACTGATCGATCGACAGACAGGCTGGCAGGCTGGCAGGCTGACAGACTGACAGACAGAAACAGAGAAGCAGACAGATGGAAAGACCAACAGACAGAGAGACAGGGAAGATAGAGATTCAGGGAGAGAAAGAGAGACAGACAGACAGACATACGGACAGACAGGCCGACAGATAGACAGACCGACAGAGAAACAGAAAGACTGGCAGATACAGAGGAGGAGAGAGAGAGACAGACGGATGCGCCGACAGACAGGCAGCACAGAGAGGCAGTCTGGTAACACATAAAACAGACAGGGGACACACACAAACACACTCGCAGACAGACGCGGAAACAGGCATACACAAATAGAAAGCGAAGGATAGAGAGACACAGAGAGAAACAGACGGACAAGATGGACACACAAACAGAGAGAAAGATTGAGAGAGAGAGGAACAGACAGACAAGATGGGCACACCAACAGACAGAAAGTGGCTTTTGGACAGCTTTCGAGGTGGGGCCTACATCAACCTTAGGGGCCTGTAGACAGGAGGGTGCCGTCTCAGCGCATCTGCCTCTGCCTAGGTTTCCGCCGCTTTTGACTGTGATATGGCCCAATTGGCCGCATCACCCCCAAGACATGACGATGGCCCACACACGTCTCTTCTGGGCTAACAGGTAAGTTATAACTGCTGCATCCCACTGCCTGAGGTTTTCTTCTGTTTTTCCGTATAAACCCAAGGGAGTTTGATTTTTACCCTCCCCCTTCTTTCCCCCTCCATCGCAACTTCTTTATCTTCTCCTTTCTTGTCTCCTCCTCACTTACAACCATCATCATCTCCTCCACCTCCACCATCACCGCAATTGGGTCTCCTTCCCCCGAGTGCATGACCGATCTTCGCTATGCAGAAGCCAGTGACCGGATGGGCGTAGTCCTGGCACGTGCTATGCACCATGCTATAGGTATGGTCCAACAATCCAGCCCCCTTGTCCACTATTTCGTCGTGGCACTTCCCCAGCTACCATAACCCACACAGTTACAGGCTAAGAAATCAGCATCTTTTGAGAAAGTTGCTGTTTCGCTCTGTTTTGCTGAGACTTCAAAACCTGAGTTTATTTTGTGTTTTTCTGTGTGTGTGAGATGTGCTGGTGCTATGTATATGCCTGTGTGTTTGGCTGAGTCTATGCCTGTGCGTTTGGCTGAGTCTATGTTTGTTTCCCCGTTCTGGCTATGTTCCTGTTTCCCCGTGTGTTTGCCTGAGTCTATGTCTGTATAAGCCGCAGACAAGATAGGTTAGCATATAGGTGTAGTTACAGAGACCGACATAATATTTGCTAACCGGAGGCCTTACCGGAAATTCCTTCCTGAAAGGCCAGGCGTAGACATTGAATTCACCAAGGACCAGGTAGGGAATTCCCAGCAACTCCGAAAGGCCCTAGAGTCCGGTACAGTAGCCGGTAGGTAATGATAGCAAAGTCGATTATTCGCTACAATCGTTTTGCATGGGAGCCTCTCCGGAATTTCGTCCAGCAGACGCCTTTTGGACAAAAAAGGTTTATTGTTCGAGTGGTTTCCCTCTCCAGCAACTGTTTTTCATCTGCAGGTAGGATTGGTCCGCAGTGATGTTCCCACCAAAAAAGGCAGGGAAACGGTAGGCCCAAGCGCATTGTAGAGGCCGAGAGCACCCCAGTAGAGGGTCCAGAGGCTGAAAGGGAGGTCAATATCGTTCGGAGCGAACAGCAGTCCGGGTCATTCAGCCAGCAGTCATGCTGCTCCTGCGCCAAGACGGTGGAGAGGCGGAGCTCCTTGGTAAGCAAGGAATGGTTGAGGGTGATGGAGGACAGCTTCATCACTACGGAGGAGACGAGGGTGAGTGCAAAACTATGGAGGTAGCAGTTATCAAACCCTAAGCTGGGCTATGGAGATGGGTGGAGAAAGGCAGTACGGAGGAGGAGGAAGGAACGGAGAGGAAGACTTACCTTTGGTTATGGTGAACATTCTTCTCTTACCAGGTTAGTGCTGCTCCAAGAAGGCTCCTGGGGTGCTACCCGCTGGACTTGGACTTCGCCCATAAGGCAGGCTATGGCAGCAGGAGGGAGAAGCATAATAGTAGCTGCATTGTCCTCTCAACATCCGCCTGCAGCAAGGATGACCTGCCATACCTGTGATCTCATCAAGACGGCCAAGAGAGAGAGGGGGAGAGAGAGAGAGAGAGAGGCCGAGGGAGAGAGAGTAGACCTATCTTTCTACACAGGCAGTAGGGGAGCTTTTGAGACAACGGTTCTTATTCATTTACTCATGGATATTTACCAAAGCAGGGATGATGATGGGGGTGGAGAGAAGAGGGGATGAGAGATTGATTCTTCTTCTTATTATTTTCTACATTCTCTTGTCTTCTATCTGATCTTGTTTTTTTCCTTCTTTTTCTTCATTCTCTTCTTTTCTTTGTCTTTTTCGATCTCTTCTTGAATTGCAGTGAATGGCAGTCACTCTGAGTTAAGTTCTGCATCAAGAATTGTGGTTAAGTTTTGCATCAAGAATCGTGGTTAAGTTTTGCATCAAGAATCGTGGTTAAGTTTTGCATCAAGAACCGTCGTTAAGTTTTGCATCAAGAATCGTGCAGGTTCATAACAAAGCTCACAATTCCCACTCACCTCATTTTTCGCCTCCTCTAGCGCCCTCAAGGTTGTCTGGTAGAATTCTTGAAGCAACTCCATATTTTGGCTTGCACTGCTCGATACAAAATCCAGAATGTTGTTGATCACCTTCTCACTGTAATTGCGTGTGACTGCCGACTTTATGTATGTAAGCATTTCCCTGTATGCATCCATCATAGCCTTGTAATTTCCCAGCCGATAATGAAGCTTTACTGTTTGTTTTAGCGCTTTGAATCCCCTGCAATGCAGCCCCCAACAACCAGTCAGTTGTGGAGCCAGCACCAAAACACACAAACAACTGCAATGACCCGTAGAGAATCAGTCCGAGTTTTATGCAGTCCGAGTTTTATGCAGTTTCTGACTAGGAAGATTCTCACGCCCGGCTGGTCCTGCCCCCTGTTTCGGTACTGGCTGGTCTTGGACAGCAGTAGTTTCCGTCGTCCTTTGAACATCTGTGATGGACATGGATTTACCGCCATAGTAAGAGATCAGGTTGGGGTTCAAAGGAGAGCTCTTTGAGCGCTTGGCAGTAAGGGGGGATACTCGGACATGATTCATGTTCAATAATTTATCTTACATTGAAGAGACGAGGACTAAATTGGTTTCAACTTTACTTCTTTTATCCTCTTCATTTCCCCTCTCTTTCTCTCTCCGCGAATTCTTTTGGATTCAGCAAGTCCTCCATTTTCTCAGGTTTGATTTTTCCATAATGGATGTAGTAGGATCATGACAATTGGCATTAGAGCTAGACCTTACTCCATGGCGTTAGCTATCTCTTCCTTCCCTCTCTCTTTCCCTCCAAGTTTGGTCTTAGAACGTACACAGTTACCATATAAAAAGAAAACCACACAAAGAAGTGGGGAGATAAAATAGTCAAGACTGGCGCAGCGATTAATTACACCGCTAGTACATGTCCCCAACCTTGCAGAAAATGTTTCATCATCTACTCGGAAAAGTTCGCACCTCGGGCCTACCAGACATCATGGCTGGCGGTGCCAGCCAAAAAGGAGAAGAAGTGCGCTGCTGGCAGTTCAGAAAAGCTTGGCGTGCAATGCAGCCCCTCCAAGCCCGGGCGTACTGGTGGTTTGAGATTGAGAGGAGTCAAAGACAAAACGGCGTGCAGTCCAACAAAACAAAACAAAACAAAAAAAAAAAAAAAAAAAATTGCCATCGACTGCTCACTAACCGAAATGGAAAGGTTCTAATGTTACCATTGGATCACAACGGAGAGTAACAGATTGAAGCGGTGAATCAAGTAGATACAGGACTGCAGAAAGCAAGCCCAAACAGTTCATGTCATTTTAAAAAAGGTTTTGGATGACCCTCCAGAAGCCACCAGACAGGTCCATCCTCGCTAGTTTTTTCACTCCACCATGTGTTGAGCACCACTGGTTGGAGGAAAGAGTTTTATTTATTTTTTTCCAAACAGAAAACCGAGCTGCTTATATTAGGGGGAGTGATAAAAACATCTCCCCCTAATAAAGCTGGCTCTGGTTGCTCCAGTTGGTGGGGAGCAGCACCTGCTGGAAAGGAGGTCCAACGTCCCTGATACATTCAAGAACCGTTTCTCGAGTAGAGAGAAAAATCCTGGCCGCCGTCCCCATTGGCGGGGAGGGAGAAGGAAAGGGTGAAGGAGGCAAGGGGAGGCAACTCCAGAGTGCTATTGACTTACCTTGGTCCATGTTTGTTTGTACACCTCTCCCACTCTCCCCTCTCCTAAACTCATTCTGCAATTGCGAATCTGCGGATGCCCAGCTTGGTAGCAGCTGCTGTTGGCTCCTGCCTAGCCAGGACTGGGGAATTGTAAGCACTGAAGCAGGTAGTAGGAGAAAGGGAACCGGTGGTGGGGACGGGGGAAGGATGGTCCTGCCGGGAAGGGGGGGGGG